AGATATTTGAAACAAAATTAGGAAGATATTTGAAACAAAATTAGGAAGATATTTGAAACAAAATTAGGAAGATATTTGAAACAAAACTAAAAAGATATTTGAAACAAAATTAGGAAGATAGTTGAAACAAAATTAGGAAGATAGCTGAAAAAAATTAGGAGATATTTGAAACAAAATTAGGAGATATTTGAAACAAAATTAGGAAGATAGTTGAAACAAAATTAGGAAGATAGTTGAAAAAAAATTAGGAGATATTTGAAACAAAATTAGGAGATATTCGAAACAAAATTAGGAAGATATTTGAAACAAAACTAAAAAGATATTTGAAACAAAATTAGGAAAATAGTTGAAAAACTAAGAGATATTTGAAACAAAATTAGGAAGATATTTGAAACAAAACGGAGATTATTTAAAGCAAAATTAAGAAGACATTTATGACAAAAAGGAAGCTATTTGAAACAAAATAGAAAATGGTTGAAATAGAATTGAAAATGGTGGAAATAAATTGTAAAATGCTTTAAAACACAATGGAAGATACTTGAAATGGAAAATGGTTGAAGCCGAATGGTTTAATGTCGGGCTTGGTTGCATGATGCCTGTTTAAAGTATCCTACTTGAGAAAGAATGATGCTGTAGACGTATCATGTCTAAATGCGGTATATAAATATATATAAATATAACCCGAGATATGCAACCCATATGAAACTATTTAAACTATAAATTCTCTCCCCCCGAACATGTTTGATAAACAAGCATTAGGAAAAGTTGTGGATCAGATCATTTAATAACAAAAATATCTTTTTCCTTCAAACTTCTAGTAGCAAATTCATATTTTAAATATGACAACAAAAAGAATTGATCAAATGCATAGCGTAGTGTCCAAAGTTTGAAATTTCAAAGTTTTTTATATCCGTCAGGTTGCAAATATATAAATTGGGTTGAAGTTTGAGGTGTGCAATATAATCGTAGAATAATGGTGAGTTAGAACATAAGTAAATATTAAGTAAGTTAGCAATAAAATAAGTGAATAAAAATTAAGTTAATACTAAATGAATAAATACCAAGTAAGTTAGTTAGAAATAAGTAAATATAAAGTAAGTTAGTATGAAAATAAGTATAAATAAAGTAAGTTAGTTTGAAAATAAGAAAATACAAATTAAGTTAATACTAAATAAATAAATAAAAATTAAGTTAATACTAAATAAATAAATACAAAGTAAGTTAGTAAGAAATAAGTGAATACAAAGTAAGTTAGTTAGAAAATAAGTAAATATAAAGTAAGTTAGTTAGAAAATAAGTAAGTACAAAGTAAGTTTCCAAGAAAATGAGTAAATATAAAGTAATTTAGTAAGAAAATAAGTAAATATAAAGTAAGTTAGTTAGAAATAAGTAAAAATAAAGTAAGTTAGTAAGAAAATAAGTAAATATAAAGTAAGTTAGTTAGAAATAAGTAAATATAAAGTAAGTTAATACTAAATAAAAAAATACAAAGTAAGTTAGTTAGAAAATGAGTAAATGTTAAGTAAGTTAGCAAGAAAATAAGTGAAAACAAAGTAAGTTAATACGAAATAGATAAATACAAAGTAAGTTAGTTAGAAATAAGTATTTTTACAGTAAGTTAGTAAGAATATAAGTAAGTGCAATGACAAGACTATACATATAGTGGTGTGAGGAAGGAACACTAAGTGAACTTCTAAATCATTTATCAACAGTACCC